CGGATATACATGTATACAATCATTTATAATCCATATGAGTAACGCATGATCAACACCACACTTGTGATATTGTCCCTTATTATGTTATCGCTATTAGCGATGACCCCCTCTTAAGCTATCTGTTCACACTTAGTAACAATATGACACTTGTTTATATTACCATGTTGAGCATAAATGTTTATTATACACTAATTGTAATATCTTTTTTAATAAAAAAAATACAGATTTTATGAATATTGTTTTTCTTTCTTTTTTTGTGTTTTATGCACTACTTTAATACTGAGTTTTTACGTTTACTACTATTTTAAGAATTCAATTGTCATAATGACCGACAATTATAAGTCAAAACTTAACTGGAAAAAAGTCAGTAAAATTATGTTAAACTTTCAATATATAATATTGTTTATTCTTAAACCATACACATGTACATTTGTATTTTTCTTTATCATTTTTTAAATTATCAATCAATTGAATAATTCATTAAAATCTGATTTGTAACTTTGAATAATTCCTCGGCATCTTTACTAAACACGAATAACAAATTAATAAAATGTTTCAAAGTGATAGTGTCATATTAATGCCATAAAAATGTACATTTTTTCTCAATTATGTACATATTTATTGTTTTATCTCATAATAGATAAAATAAACATGCGATTTGTGTTGTTGGTTTTTTTTTTTTCGAATTGTATGTTTATGTATAATAATAATCAATAAATTTGAGAGTTGATCTATTTTTATTAATTATTGTAACCAAACTAAGTGACAAACATTCATTTTGAAAAAAAAGCTTATTTATCTGTAAAATATTTGTTCTGTTCTTAACGATATCAACTCTACTCCAAACCGGAAGAGACCGGACAATAAACGTGTGGTACTATTCGCCGGTCGTCAAAATAGACCAGGAGAGACCGGGAATTACCGACAGGAGTACATCCCTCTATAAATAGATTTTCGGAATATTTAGGTCATCAACTCAAACATTCTATTTACAGCTTTCGGAATAACATACCATAATAACCGACTGTGTACTACAAAATGATAAATAAAAATACCCCGAAGAGCGCGATCTATTGACGGAAAAGGTTAATTAATTTGAAAATGTTTGCATTGCGAAATTCTCCAGTTCGCTATTCATTGTACATATCGCGACTAATTAATAATCAAGCACCCTCATACCGATCGGAATGTTCGGCTTTTATTATGAACAACTATAAAAGGCTCGAGAAGTTGCTTTCGCCCTTTCACAAAATCTGATTTCATTCCATAAAAGGCGCCGCGCTTCGGCGCGGAAGCCAACAACGCCCGGTGTAAGCGCCCCTCCCCGCACACTTTTATATCTCTTTTTACGGTGGTTGTAGATCTTAATATACGACAATTTCACGTCCAAGTTTCGTCCAGTTAGCTCAATAGTTAGAGCGTTGGACTGTGAATTGAGCGATCAGTGTTCGATTCTCGGAAGATGCAGGTCACTTTCATTTTGATTGATCATGAAATATTTACAATGGTCATTCGTTCTGTACCTCTGCTCTGGCATATACAGAAGTTATCAGTTCCTTGCGAAATTGAAGGCAATTGGTACGGGCAAATTGCATGACAACCTGCCCAGGAACTATGCTGTGGCTGAACTGTGCTCCGGTAAATTCACCGTGGCTAACTGCTGTGATCCGGACCTACCAACACCACCACTAACGTTTCTGGTTGATTAGCATATCTCATTTAAACCTATGATCGTTGTAATCTTAAAGGTTATATATATATAACTTGACTTAAAAATTCATAACGTCACGTAAATAATTTAGATTAAATAATCTGCATATTTTGATATGCTACTTTGTTTTATCTATTGTTTTCGATAACACTTTGATTAGCTATCTTATATTAAAGGTATGTAAGTATTTTAACTAGACAGTAAAGTGTGCTTGAATCTACTAGTTGAAAAGTTCAAGTTGGTTTATAAAGGTTAAAACAGGGTACTTAAACCGACGAATTAAGTAACTGTACAAAAATGTATTTTCTTGGCCACGTTGAGTCTGAAGTTAGTCCACGTAATGTCTTTCATTATTGTAAATCACATAGATATGGTGCTATATTCTTGAAGGAAATTTGAATATGAAACTATAAACCAGTTTGTGTGAACATAAATAACAAAATGATCATTTTAAACTGAGAAGAAATATTAACTAAAGTTTGAAAGAGTAAAGCAATTTGTCTTAATAAACATGTTACATATTTAGACCACGTGTCACATGTCACCTGTTCTTGGTATCTAGTAATGTATTTAAAAGTACAGGATTATATTGAGATCAAAGAAATGATACTACAGACAATGCTTGACCCTTCTTGACCCATTGTAAAATAGCGGTCGTCGTTTTAGTACCTCAACGATATAATAGGAATTCAAACCAGGATATTTTGATTGTTATTTACTTTAATTTTTCAAATATTCAAGCTGAATCCAGAGTTATTGCCACGACGATATTTCAAACTGGAGATTTTAATTAGAATGTATTGAGATTTATTAGATTTATTAAAGTTAACTTTAACTATCATATATGTAGACAATAGTCTCAACACCAAAATATATTCAAATCGTAAAATACCAAAGCAAAATAAATAAATGAATGAATGAATGAATGAATCAATCAATCAATCAATCAATCAATCAATCAATCAATCAATCAATAAATGAATGAATCAAAATATGAATGAATGAATAAAAAAACCTATAAATTGATTAATTGAAAAATAAATAGATAATAAAAAAAGAAAGCTTTGTGAGATAAAACTATGTAGTTTTATGGTTTATTTATAACGCTGGAGTACTGAATTAGTTCGACTATCCATTGAAATAAATTAATCTTAACCATCAACATCTACCAGTAAGGCATACGCTGATATCACTTTTGAAAAATAAATCATTTATGATTAGATTTCAGAGCATATTGTTTAAACAAAACGTATTGTTGTTCTTTAAGTGTTTCTCTTAAACAGATTCCCAAAATTTACATTACCAACAAACAAAGGTTATATATAACCATTTATTAATGTTCAATTATATGCACAAAGTCTTCATTTGTTGTTTAAACATCAAATATCATGAAGAAGTTAAATTTAATATCGCGAAATGCCCCTGGTGTTTTATTTCTATTATTTTGATAAATGCTTTTATTTTGTTGGAATTTTCGTATAGTTGGAGCTGATATGTGCATGTTTAATGTATAAGTCTGTTTAAAAATTCATTTTGTGCACCAAATACTTTCCTTAAAGTCCTTAAAAACACTTGATTGATCAACAGTAAACTTAACTTTATTTTGCGTGAAAAAGGGAGACAATAATGTTTTTTGAAAATACGTTGGTAGTCTTTAGGTAATCTTTGGAACAGTGGTTCAATGGTAGGACCGGCGTGTCGGGAGCGGAGTACCGGACTCAGGACTTATCAAGGACATTGCTTATGTCCAAAAGGAGATATAAAGCCTAAAAACCGATGACCAGGGTTAAACCTGTTATGTCACTGAATGCGCTCAGTGTGTGCGGCATAAAACTAGGGGTATGAAATACAGATACTTTTCTATCTAATATTATGCATGTATTTATGCTTCTATATGTCTCTCGTTTATGTATATGTGTCTCTCTTGGTGAATTGAATTCAATGCAGGTATTTAAGATATAAGTTCAGTCTTTGATGAAATAACACAGCAGTAAATGTGATAGTAAAATAGGTTGTTCAGAGAAAAATATTACTTTGATCGACCATACCCAGTAAGAATTATTTTCATACCCTTGACATATTAACTTTTTTTTCAAGCTCCTGTTTTCGTAATGTTTAACCGTGAGGTTTGATTGTGTATGTCTTCATTTATTACGAATAACACAGAAAATAGCTGCACTTTTATCTTGTTCCACGCACGGTCATCTTCATAAAAATCAACATTAACGACTGCATGTTTTTCTCTTACCAGAAACCAATATGAGAGAAGAAAATAAATGAGTAACTATATGCTTACACCACAATATGAGCCCATCAAATTGTCATTAACTAGGCTTATAATATTCACCATATTTTGTACTTTATATGAACCAAATTTCATTCAAATAAACCTAAGTAGATTCAGATTTTAAAGGGACAAAAAACAATATTCGCAGCATAAAGTTGCCAGTTTTATTTCGTACTAAACAGCTTCAAAGTACTTCTACTCTACTCAAGTATTAGAATGCCTAGAGCTAAAAACGCTAAGATGTCGTAAATCAAACTTCCGTTCATGTGCAGCTGTAGTAAAGATATTATATTCAAAAAATATTAATTAATCATTGTTCAACAAAACACTAACACCTCCTCATGCGCCTGTTTGCCCGAAGTAATCAGCCATTCATGTATACGAAGATTATCCCGACAAAAAACCTCCCATCTTACAAGAGAACACACCTGGTCCAAAAATTGTACAGGTATTCTTCTAATCAAGTACTCACGGTGTTTCGTGCGAACTGCTATTAAAGAGAGAATGACAAAAAGCTCCGCTCGATTCATGCTTTTATCTGATTATCGCGGATGCAATTGGAACGGTTTTGTATTTCTTTATTACAGTTAAAGTCAATGACAGGTAATGACCGATTTTACGTTTAAATGATCGGTTTAATTGATTGTTTAATTAATTGATTAATTAATTAAGTAATTGAGTTTAAGGAGGGACGCAAACGCCTCTTTGATACCTGAAGCTGATACGAAACGAATATTTGTAAAAAAAATAAAGATCAAATAGGATAGTTTTTTTTTTAAGTTTTAAACTTTATCTTAAATGTCTATGTAATATAATGTAAATGTTAGTTTACCTATCATATAGACTGTAAAATAAACTTTCTCTATACAGCTACAGAAAGAAGATAAACCGTTTTTATTGGATATTTTCATACTGAAGCCATTCAAACGGACACTGGTAGGTGGGTAAGTGTCGCTTCATACAAGTCAACTATTAAAATACAACCATACATGGTTTATAGTATACCGCATGCATTTTTAAACAATTTGATACATGCGAGCGTCTACTCGCTTTCGATGAATAGCGAATACGAGTTTGTCATTTTCGTTTTAAACGCAGAAGATTCGACTGTCAACAATAGTTAATTGAATTTTACTATAGCTTTTCGATCTGTTTGGAGGATACAATTATCAATGCTCTTCGGATATTACTGGTGTGAATTTTTGTTTTCGGATTCTGTATATTGTTAATTTTGTTTACAATTTACTATAGATTAGGTTAAAGGAAAAGCTGTTAATGCACTGTGGTATTGGTCTGGAGAAATCAAGGTAAATACAGTGAATAGGGTGCATGGTAAAAGTAGATGATATTATTTTATCAATGAACGTTGATTTAAGATAAACGCTATAGTGTCCGTGTGATTGTTTTATTGTAAACGTTACGAATAGTAAGATAATAACAATATTGTTACATTATTTCAAATAATAATTTATAATTTCAGCTAGAGAAAGACAAAAGTTGAAGTACAAAAAAAAATCGACGATAAATCGAAAATTTCTGGATTTTAAGCAAGAAAGAGAGAGAGAGAGGAAAAAAGAAGTAACCAAGGTAATCCATCGTTTATCGGAATATCATGGAATACAGTTGAATTTTGGAATATTTGTGAATAGTGCGACTGTATCTATTAATATTTGTAAATGTGAAATACTTCATTGAAGGATTTTATTCATGTTGCAGTAATCATATTAAACCTGAGGAAATTTGTTTGGAATTTAACACATTAACTTTATTGGGGTAAGTGTGATTTTTTTCCATTGCGATAATAAAGGGAAAAAAACAAAAAAGCTTTTAAGATAGGAATTTTAACATGTTAAAATATGAATTCATATTTTTTTTCAAGAGGAAATTGATATGAAATTATTTTCAAAAACATAGAAATATTCAAGATGAATAATTTTCTAAGCTTTTAACGTCTGAGAAGTAACATTATCCGTAAATTGTTTCATCGAGGGGCCATCTGTCATATGCTAAGGGCCCCTTGTAAAGTATCACTCATACAAAAGATGATATTGAAATCGCATAATTGATCCGCTGGTCCCTTTTTGACCCTTTATTCAATAGCGGTCATCATTTTTATTACCCCCAAGTTTTAACAATCTAATAGGATTTCGAACGCGGTCATTTATTTTCAAAATTTTCGGTTATTTGAATACACAGTGTTTATTTTATAAAAAAAAGAATAGCGAAACGTCCCAGGTTCGTTTCAATTTAATCTTCACGCCGATATTTCATACTTGAGATTCGGTTAAATTATGTTTTAGAGTTTTTAAGGACTTGTTCAGAATAGATATTGCAGTCATAAAATATCATTATGGTTATATTTGATATGCTCTCTATAACTCGGTACAGGCCGTTAAACCTCATTTATCTTTATATTCCATGACATGTTTCATTATATAAAACAAGATAAACTTTTCTAGTTTTTTGCACTATTCATAAAAGACTGCACTTTGTTCAAAGCGTCTATTCTTGGATCTCACTAAAAGAAAATAAAAACGAACACGTAAAAACCGTGAAATATGTTTGTGTTTTGCTGTATTCCTGTTTTTTTAATTTATTTATCATACCTGAATTTACTTCAAAACTTACGTGCTAATCTTTGTTCATGCATATTTCCATCATTTGCATCAGTTTATTTACTTCAATTAAAAAAAACCCTGAATCATTAAAAAAATATATTTGATGTTGTTAACTCTCAGACAGTATATATAATGATACTTATACAAATATATTAAGAGAACAAATAAAACAAATTAATTAAACCAGTAATTACATTTGTAAAGTAGCTACAGAATTTCTGACAAATAAGCAAATATTATGTCAGCGCGAAAGGGATATAAAGAATAATGTTCAGTATTTTGTATTATATATCTAAAGAATTTTCTATTACCTTTTTTTAGTTTTTTTCTGTAATTCTGTATACACTTTGAGAAATTAACAAGCCGCTACTGTTTGACAGGTGATACGTTATTTGCGCTCATCCAGTCAAATATTCAACAATTTGGAAACATTGATACTCGCAACTTTCGTAATAAATACGGTGAACTTGATCCCTGTTTCGTGCATAAAGATATTCGTACCTGATGCAATTTAATGTTTTATCAAAATCTGATACCTGGTGATGTTTTCGCAATTCCACCTTAATGTGCAGCGTTTAACTTCATACGGTGAATTTGATAATGGTATATAATCTACAAATTGTATCAACAGCAAGGCCCCATGATAAATATAAGACTTTGCATAGATCAAACATATGCCTGCTGTATGGTTTTCCGCCTATAAGTTACGAGAATCTTCGTGGAAGAGTTTGGCTAATAATTTGCCTCTGCTTGCGTTCGCCTGTCTTCTGAATTGACAGCTAAAATGTTTTCACGATCATTTAATCTTTTTTACGATCAAAAACACTTTCTTCCTCAACTCTTGTGAGTGAGTTATTACAAACAGATATGAAGGCAGGGTTTACAGATATATATAATTATGTCTAGTCGTTGATACTGAGAGCGTACAGATGGGATAATTAGTTTCTTCAGTCAATAAAACAAAGTAAAATTTGTACATTGAATACGAGAAATAAGGTGGGATTTCTCAGTGTTATTATAACTCTGATCTTTATCATCAAGCTTATCACTTTCATGTAGAATTTCTTTCATACCACTCTCCATCATTACCTTTATTGTAATTAATATCATTACAAGTATTATTAACATTATCCCACTTCAACGTCGTCAACATTCTTACATTAACCACCTTTATTGATATTATTTCTTTCGCCACATTTATCAATACCGTAGAACTCATTTTCTGTAGTTTCATCGCATTCATCATCATCATCATCATCGCCATCATCACCGTTATCATCATCGTCGTCGTTATCCTCACCCCCCTACCAGACTACAATCGTTGTCATTCTCCCTACCAGAATCAAGAGAATCCTTATTATTACCGACACTATCATCATCTTCATCATCATCATCATCACCACCAACATCACTAATAACAACAATCACATGATAATTGTCATTAGCAGAAGCAGCGACTACTAGAGACATCCTTGTCATTTACTTGTCATCACTGAATATTCATGAAAAGTACGGAAATGATAAATGTTTACGAAAATGTCCCATGATGATGATCCTCATTATCATCAGCAATTACAACAGAACCTGTTGCAACGAATTTTTCAAAAGGTTCCTGCTGACATTCATTAACAGTTGCTGACGTTATTTCCTGGAGAAATTGTCAACAATGATGTATATATTTAGCTATATTAGATAAATTTAGAAAGTCAACATAATGTCAAGGAGACAAGCAACAACGAATTGATTAAATTAGGATGCTAATTACGTGAATGATCCCGCTTCTCAATCATGATCACCAATCTAATCAATACTTCCATTAAAACCTTCAGTGTAACCAATCAGTCTACTTGCTGTATTCGTCATGGTTTAATTCTCATTAATTATGTGTCTTCACGCTTTAAAATTTCATTCTTGATTTTACTATAACGCCGAAAATCTCATGCGAGGGTAATTTTCATTATTACAAATGCTCACGCCTCACGTGTATTCATAATCTAATATCTATCTAGTCCTGGCAGTTAGGGTTACATGAAATTTTATTTGAAAGGAGAAATACTTACGTCAGCAAACTTCCTCTTTCTCTTACTGTGTCTGAATAAAAGAAAAGACACACCAGTCATTTATTATCTATAAAATCATCATCATCATAATCATCATCAACAACATCATCATCATGAACATCATCATCAGAAACATTATCATCATCAACATCATCATCATCATCAAGTTACATCAATAACATCAATCATTAACAACAACATCAACAACATCATCATTCAAACATTTTCTTCAACAACATCATCATCAACCTTATCATCCTTATTATTATTATCATCATCACTAGAATTATCATTATTATCATCATTATTATCAACATCACCACCGTTCTCATATTGTTCTCTTTTTTTATTGGCGTCGTTTTAGTTTTTATCATCATTATTATCATCATCATTGGTGTCTCAGTCGACAAAATCATCATCATAAAGATTATCCACAATTATAATGTCTCCTTTATCAATCATCATCATCATCATTATCATCATTATCATCATCATTATCATGATTATTATCATCATCACCATCATCATCGTCATCATCACCATCATCATCATCATCATCACCATCATCATCATAATCATCATCATCATAATCATCATTATCATCATCAGCATCTGTCAATATATTCATTTCCCAACGTATTTTCATAATTTTAGTAGTTTTCTTTTTACTGCTATCTTGATCGGCATGTGCTACAAAATTTATACCCAAGATGAAATTACATAATGTCTACCATTAAACTATTTCATGCACAATTCGTTGAGACTGTTTACATAATTATCTGATGGTAAGATAAGTGCGAGTGAATTTTGCAAACACATAAGTGAGAAAATGAGTATAAAATGATCGAGCTCTTGTGGCCAACGCGCGTAAGTTATTCATGAACAAATAACATAATGTTTTAACATAATGTAATAACATGATGACTTAAAAACACAACATGATGTTATCTTGAAGGAAAATGTGCGTTCTAATGAATACATTTTTCATTTTCTGGCAAATTGTTGTTAAATTGTTCTTCACAATGTATATTCATATTATTCCATTGTCCGTCCATGTGTCCGTACAATATGTAATGATTATGCGTTGCTCAGTTCGAATTGCATTGGTTTAACTGTTTAAAACCCTTTATTTAGATACTTAATTGTATATATGTTAAGGTTTTATATAATTATTACAGGGTTTGAAATGAATATTCGAATGTCCGATTATTATAAATCACTCGAATCTTCGAATATATAGTTTCTATTCGAATACTCGTTTTTTGGGGGGGGTTTTAAAAATCTTTTCAAATTTTATGTCCTTGAAATAAAAAACTACATGTATACATAATTGATTTATTTAGTAATTGAGCTAGTTAAATAGGTCTGAAAGTTACATGTTTCATTGATTAATGAGTCGTCGATAGTGAATAAATAAATACCATTTATAAACAAGAGGATCCATTTCGTGCTCTTTCCAGCCTTCAGACAAGTTAATTAAGGCAAATGATAGTTAATTTGTAAATGATAGGCTTAAGGGACGTAAACGCCTTGATAAGCCTTCTCAAATGAACACGTGACCTTGCATGGAAATTTTTTGCCGTATGTACAGAGTAATTAATTTACGTTTGATGGCGCAGACAAATTTAATTCTCTCAACGAGACCATGTTAGAACTTTATTTGACATTTATGGGCCTTTAATAAAATCTAATTACGGAGATACGCGTAACCCTTATAATGGTATAAAAGAAATGTGCAGTACTTAATAAGGAATTGTGTTCAAATTAAGCCACATCTTAATGTTATCTCCGGTAAAAAATGCAGAGACAGTTTAAACAGTTTCCTGCGCATTTTCACAATTTGTGTCCCGTTTAATGCAAATTAAATGCTTTTTCCGCTATTTCGATTATTTTTTTTTGTTTCGGATAGCTAATTTGTTAGGAGCGCGTTGTGCAGTAATAAACATTACAAACTACCTTATTCGTGTCATCATCTTTTAATATATTCAAAATAAATGGTACATCAAGGTTTAAGTGTATTTTTAAACAAGCAAACGTTAATATGAGTTACTTATGTAGCGTGAGTAGTATTGTTTTTTTCGAAATGAAAATGTTT